CTAGGTTTGAAGAATAGAAGATATTATCGTCTTAGAATTACTCGTGACTGAATCCATGAAGTAATATCTAAGCGTGGGTTGGTCCAATACTTAAATCTCTATTAAGCACTCATGAGTGTTAGCGCAATCACTATGCTATGTCCAACCAATATGGATAATCCACTAATACTCACGACAGTCTTGAATCACTACTTACTTCCAAGAGTATGACCTACTGTGGACGTTTGAGTAAATTAATACTCGGGAAGTGGGTTCCAAACATGCAAAAGTGACAACGCAGTGATAAGCTAATTGAAATGACCGAAATCCATCATATATTGAGATCACCACTTAATAATCGCCAAATCAAATTAAAACTTATACCGCTTAAAGTTCTCGGGTTTTAAAACAAACCAAACTAAGAGTGCTTAAGCCAATTCATTTGCAAATCTAATGCCTCTCGACTTTGTCTGACTGTCAGACTTGGTCAATGACATCGGCTTATGGAATGGATCGACAAGATTATCTTTCGATATGACATATTGACTATGATGTCTTTACATTTGACTCGCTATCAAATGTGTTGGTACTTACTGAGTATGTTTCATGTGAGCTTGTGTGACTTGGGATCCATACTCGAGGTAAGTTCACCCAAAGTCACAAGAAACTTCATAAGGACCATCAATGATTGAATCTCAACAAAGATGTCACTAATGAATCTCTTTTAGTCACATAGTCTTCTTTGCAATTTAACCAACTGCAATATACTCCAAGTATGTTAAATCCACTATGGTATATTACCTGGTACTCTTTCGAGATAATATATCACCATTCAGTAAAAGCACGAATTCCGACTGCGAACGGAATTGCCTTTATTAGTATGGAACTTAACATCAATGTAACTCTTATAGTGATCTCTTCTATACTATCAAGATCATCTCTTCAGTCCTCCAATGACACTTAAAAATGTTCTTGATCTTGATTCGTTGATTCTTGCCTAATTGATCTAATCTAACTTGTCATGCTCAAGGCATACGAGTCATTAGATTTGGTACATGTCATGGCATATATGATCGATCCCATGGCAGAAGCATGTGGGACACGACTCATTTACTTTAGCTCAATAGTAGAACTAGGACATTAGCGTTGCTCAATGTAATGCCAGCCTAAACTCCTTTTTGAGTTCTGAATGTCAAGTTTCCTCAACATTCCCTGTACTTTGGCTTAATCCAATGAATCACTTTGATCTATCTCCATAGATCCTTATTATGTACGTGTTTTGTATCTCCCATGTATATCATAGTGAAACAATTCTCATACCAAGCCAAGCTTTTACACTTGCTAAGTTAGAATATAGTTTCTTATGAACCGTACATTATCTATGTACAATACAAGGATGACTACAGTGCTCCCACTAGCACTGATATATATATATATATATATATATGTATATGGTTTATCTATGTTTCTCGAAATTCAAACTCTTTGAACATTCTCATGGAAACAAAGAATCCAATTACTCCCACTAGCTTTGACATATGTATGGCTCATCTTTATTTCTCGAAATTCATACACTTTGAACTTTCTCATTGAAAAATGATCCATCTTGCGAGATGCTTATTTCAGTCCATAAATGAACCTTTTAAGCTTACACATCTTTCAAAACCTATATTGGTTTGATTATGTGTTTGTTCCTATACATGATTATCTCTACTTGAAGATCCACTTGCACTTAAGGGCAAAGGTCAAGTGCTTGATCTACCAAATTACAACATACATGGATTGAATCTCGCTTTCCATTTCCTCCTTCTATGTTGTAGCCTTTAGGGCCTACCATAGCTTCCGATAGCTGGTATACTCTGATTTCTCCATACCAGTGACTCATTTACCTCAGTAATATAAACTCTTATATAGCTAGGTCCATGATATCTTCTATCAGATAAGGAAAAATGGAAATATGTCAGTTTCCTTAATAGCTCTTTCAATTCCAAAATTGAATGCTATGTACAACTTTAGGCTCTTCGTTGGTTGACTCTTGAATCTTATCAAGATCAATGTAGCTCCCACTAGCTCTTTTGGAAATCAGCTCCCTCACCTGGAAGACTGTCCTTTGAGCAACATACACTTTGTTCTCATAAGGATTCTTAAAGAATTATCCAAAATGCTTGATGGGTTCTCCAACGAGTTAACACATCTCTATTAAAAGTTCTAGATTGTCGAGCGCTTCACGACGAGCACGAAGCTTAGTGAGTTCCCCAACCTACCACATACCATATACGCATAACCATGAACACATATCCACATACTGGGCCTCCCACCCACTGCATCGGGCCTCCCCCCCCCCCCCCCCCCCCCCCGACATCAGGCCCCGCCTGGCATCGAGCCCCGCTCGGTATACAGATCTGTCTCTCTTAGGCCCCGCCTGTCTCCGGGCCTCACCCGCTACACACATACATACAATCAAATAACATACTAGAACATACACAAACATACTCTAACTGTACCCTAATCTAAGGCCTCGCCTGACTTGGGCCTCGCCCCTGGTCTGCTACTGAAGTTGTGGAACCCCGTCCATACTCCTTCTAGTAGTGAGAAACGGGCCCCCGCCCACACTCACATCCTTCCTAACACGTGCCTCACCCCTACTCTGCTAATATCGAGATATGGAACCCCATCCATACTCAGCTAGTGATGAGATACGGGACCTCGCCCACACTCACCTGCCTACCAGGCACATACAAGTATAACATAGACAACCAGTATAATCTAACATACAACATAAGAATCTTCCTCGGGATTGCCCCGGCATCGGACCCCAGGTCCGGAGACATACTATTATCTAACATACTTCGGGCTTACCCCGACATCGGACCCTTGGTCCGGAACCTATCATACCTACTCATGCAAGAATCACGAAGACCTCTAGCATCCTAATCATTCCTCGAGCCTCGTCCGGCATCAGGTCGTAACCCGGAACATATAACATTAAGTGCCTAGGGCTGACCCCCGGGTCTTCCTACTATACATAAACATAAACATAGACATAATGGGCCGACATTGTGGCCGTAGACCCATGCACACAGTGAGGAGACTCACCCCGCACTGCTGAAGACTGGCAGAAACACTTCTGACTGCTAACCAACAACTTCTGAACTACTGATCCTTCGGCTCCCCGAACTATAAATTCCCAAAATAACACTTAGACCACAATTCACTCAAAAGTCAAACATGGTCAAAGTCAATGGTCAAAGTCAACGCTCCGAGTTGACTTCAACTCGCCAAGTTGACCTACCAACTCGTCGAGTCCCACAATCCACACGAAACTCTGGACTTCAATCCTACTCGTCGAGTTCTCCGTGAACTTGCCGAGTACACCTTCCACACATCGGGACCCTCCTTCATCTGACTCGCCGAGTTCTCCTTTGAACTCGTCGAGTCCACCTTCAACACATCGGGACCCTCCTTCACCTGACTCGCTGAGTTCTCCTTTGAACTCGCCGAGCCCACCTTCATAAATTAGGGAGATTGTCTTGGACTCGCCGAGTTCCTCCTTGAACTCGTTGAGTACGATGATCTCCAGGTCCACTATGAACCCAGACTGGCTGAGTCCCTCACCAACTCAACTCACACCCTCTAACAGAAGGGTTTGGGGACAAGAAAATGGCCTGACTCGTCGAGTCCCACAAGTGACTCGCCGAGTCCCTCTATGTCCAATTCTAATCAGACGATTTCAGTCAAGCACAAAGCATCCAAGACCCATATCTAACCTTCTAGGGTCGGAATAACACGCAAAGTTACTGCCTTTACATCCATGCATGGCCCTTTTTGCTCAAAAGGCCATAACAACCTCTTTAAACTTTGCATGGGTAGTTCTAATGGCATAAAGCTTCCACCTTTATGCCTTAACTACCCTAAATACTCTCAGATCTGAAAGGATCTTGCTTGGGGACGTCCAAATCCCACAAGTAATCATTCTTGGACCAAAAACTTCATAAAAGGGACTATAAAGAGATCAAATAAACCAACAGCCAAGATGAAGACTTGATTACCAAGAAATGAAGCCAATGGAGTGTATCTTCTGGATCTACTTCCTCCTTCTTGAACCTCCAACTTCCTTCTTCTCCTTCTTCCTCTTCAAGAGCACACAAATCACACAAAGGTGGCTCAAACACTCACAAGATACACTAGGGTTTCGTGGGTGAGGGTTTGGGGTCCGGTGGCTGAAGATGGGGCTGAGGAAATGAGAATGAAATGCCTAAATAGGGTACCAAGTCCGAATTTAGGGTTTTCCCAAAACTTGACCAACTCGTCGAGTCAGTCCTCTGACTCGTCGAGTAGGTCACTTAACCCGCGATCCAAGTCGCACTCCTACTCGTCGAGTCACCCCACCTAATCGACGAGTTGCTTCCTTATTTTGAGGATTTTCTTTCCTTTCTAGGTCTTCTGAATTCAGGGTGTTACACGGGGCGTACGTTTCTAGTACGCGGGGCGTACTCCCCAGGGAGTCCATTTTGGGCCTTGAGCCTTTTGGGGGTTAGGCTATGAGATGTTGGACCAGTTCTGGGAAGGGTAAAATGGTCTTTTACCCTTTAGTAAGATGGATTATGGATTGGGCCTTAAATTTTGGGATATTGGTTTAATTGTTAATTAAGGTTGTGTTTATTGTTAGTTGGGGCAAGATTATCCAGTTCAGCGACCCGATCAGTTATTTGGTTATCAACAGATTGAGGTGAGTCTCCTCACTGTGTTTGGCATGTCGAAGACACCAATGTCGGCCCACGATTTATTATGATTAGGATGCTAGTTTACTGTGTGACTCTTGCATGTATGATATTTGATATGTATAGCGGGCGGGGCCTGATGATTATATTGTATGCCATTTATCTTTATGATTATTGCATGTGTTTATGTGTTTGTATGTATACCGGGCGGGGCCCGATGCCAGGCGGCGCCTGATGACTGACAGATCTGTTCTGATCGGGGCTCGATGTCGGGCGAGGCCCATTATATGTTTGATATGTATGGTATGTGGTGTTTTGGGGAACTCACTAAGCTTTGTGCTTACATTTTTATGGTTATGGTTTTAGGTACTTCTGGTTTGAAAGGGAAGGGTCCATTTGATCGCAGTGCATCGACCCATGTTTCCGCAATATGATGATTTTGGAATTGTACTATGATGACTGTTTTTTTATGTTACACTTTTAAATGTTTGAATAAAAGATAATTGGCATTTTGGTTGAATTAAAAATGAAATTTTTACCTTATAATTTTCGGTACGTTACACCGACTCATTAAGAGTGAAGAATTTTCACTTGGGGTCCGACGCATTAAGGCGGCATGTGTGGCCGCCGGTATCGAGAGTGGTAAGCAGGCGTTGTGGAAGCAGTTGGTTATAAGAAATTTTAATCCGGAGGAGCCGAGTGCTACATCTCAGTCAACGTTTGTGATGCATGCTGCCATAAAGGCATTCTTAGAGACAGATTTTGCCTCGTACCTCCACCTTGGTGAGTTCGACTTAGCGGGGCTCCGTCAGCTCTGTTTGGATCCTCTAGCGGAGGAACATCCTCCGATGGGCTATTCGCGGAACATCGGACCTTCCTCTGCTCCTCTTGGCAATTGACTATTCTTTTTCCTCAAACCACATCTTCTTTTTTTATTAGTTTGTTTGTGATCTTTATGTAAGTACAGGAGATACCAGGTGGACAATACATATTTATATTTTGTTTTTTTATAGCATTTTGCTTTTTTTAAAAGGTTTGTTTGCCTCCGTTTTCAGGTGTTTGTGTTGGCCTTCGGTGTGTGTGTGTTCGCTTCTTTTCTTAATGAAACAATCCTCTCCCAAGGTTTCTATTGGCCTTGGGGCTTGATTGGGTCGATAATTAGGCCATATGCTCAATCTGTGACTCCAGAGTCCTTACTTGTCTAAGTCCTCTTGAATCCATTCTTGGGACTCGCGTTGGGAACTTGAGACATGACCCCCTTTCGATTCATGGGCTTGTGTTTCTAGGCCAAAGCATTTTAGTTAGCTTTTGGTTTTGAGCATTGCCTAGCTCATTATGTTGGGGTGTTGTTTTTTGCTAGAGCTTATTGATTACCCCATTAGGACTTTGCTCTAAGTCCTAGGCCTTGGGGAGTTACACTCTGGCCTTAATCATCTAAGTCAAGCTGAGATCGTCGCCTCGAGGCTTTAGGACTTAGGTATTGTTTTTTTAAGGGAATGATTATGAGCCTTTGAAGCCTTTATTCATGTCATGATCGAGGCTTGTGGCCTTTTGGGCTGAATTGACATGTTTAGGGAAAGGTTATGAACCTTTGACGCCTATGGTTGCATTCTGACAATGGTTTCGCTCAAATGATGTGGATGATCAGTCCTTGTTACCATTTGGTAAACATGCACAACCTCTTATGATATCAAGCTTGAATTATGAGAAAACGTTCTAACACTTTTTTATAGTGGTCAATTTGCATCACTTTACTGATAACAAGTATAGAATATAAATATTGTCTGATGAGAATAAAAAGTAGTTACACTATGACACGAACTAAGGTCTGGCTCTTGGGCCAGTTTACTGGGGTGTGATTATCCATTTGGAGTTTGATCATTCTACCCTTGCCCCAATTGTATCTTATTTTGCTCCTTGCTATAGGAGTAGAAGTGGTGCATGTTATGCATGTTTCAGGTGTGGGGGATCGGTCTCCCATCCTGGGCTTCTAGGACATAGGATCCATTCCGGCGTGCCTCTACAACTTTGTACGATCATTCCCAAACGACGCTCAACTTGCCTTGGGACTGTGCGTGGCTGGACTAGTTCTTGCGCAATACCTATTCTCCCACCTTAAAGTTTTTTACTCGTACACATCGGTTGTAGTAATTTTCGGTGCGAGCCTTGTAGGCCTCTTGGCGGAGTTGGGAATCTTTGCCGTTTTCGTTGAGTACATCTAGGTACTGATAAAGTTCAGCTTCATTGGTATTCGCATCGAATTTTGTTACTCGCACAGACCTGCTTATGATTTCGAGTGGGAGTACTACTTATGTGTCGTACGTTAAACTGAAGGGCGTTTCTCCGGTGCTAGACCTTGAGGTCGTGTAATACAACCAGTGTACTGTTGGTAGTTCTTCGACCCATGCTGCTTTGGATTTCATCAAACACATTTTGAGACCGTTGACGATGATCTTGTTTGATACCTCAGTCTGGGCGTTGGCCTAGGACGAGCTACTGAGGTGAACCGTCGATGGATTTGCTTATCCTCGCACCACTCTTTGAAAGGGCTACCCTAGAATTAAGTACGTTGTCACTAATCAGGACTATGGGGTACCGAATCGCGTAAGGATATTCTTCCACGTGAACTTTATCATTTGCCTGTCTGTGACCGTGGCTAATGGTTCAGCTTCGATCCATTTGGTGAAGTAATCAACAACAACTAGCAAGAATTTTGGATCCCCACGGGGCAAGCAGGAACGGTCCTACGATATCTATGTCCCACTGATGGAAAGGCCAAGGGTTGATGATGCTGGTTAGAGGCATGGCGGGATGGTTCTAAAAATAGACGAAAGCTTGGCACTCTGGGCATTTCTTTGTGAGTTTAGCTGCGTCCTTATATATGTCGGGACAATATACTCCCAGATAGAGTATCTTTCCCGTTAGCGCCTGTGCGCCTTCATGTGCCCCGGCCTTGCCTGCATGAATTTCTTCCAAGAGCGATGGTCCTTCTACGTGGGTGATGCATCTGAGCCACGGTGCTAGGTACCCTCTCTTATACAACTGTTTCTCCTTTATGACGAACTATGGGGCTTTGATTTTGATTTTCTTGGCTATCGCAGGATTGTCTGGGAGGATGTCGTAAAGGAGGTAGTCTAGATAGGGCTTGGTCCAGTCAGGGGGCATTGCAATGGAATTGATTTGTATGTTGTCAAAGCTCCTCTCCGTGAGAACTTCTACCAGCACTTTCTTGGTCAAGTGATCGAAAGATGTTGATGTTAATTTGCTGAGAGCGTCGCCCCTCGCGTTTTCCCCTGGGAAATTTGCTTGATCCTGAAGCTTTTAAACGAATGCGTTAACTTCCGCGTTGCGTCCAAGTACCTTTGCATCATTTGGTATTTGGCTTCGTAAGTTCCAATGACTTGGTTAGTGATGAGCAGAGAGTCGCTAAAATCTTAAAGGTGTTTTGCTCCGACCTCTTGTAACCCCCCAATTTCTGGTATGTAATTTAAATATGTATTTTTCAGTTTTCAAGAGGAACTCGACGAGTCAGTAGCCCGACTCGTCGAGTAGAGACGGGATTCGCACACGTTTTAGGTGGGCGACTCGACGAGTCCATATTCTTGGACTCGGCGAGTCCGCCAGTCCGGATGAAACCCTAATCTAAAGGGTTTGCACCCTATTTAAACAACTTATTGAGCCCCAAGACAGTCCCCATCACTCCCATAATACTTTCCACGAAACCCTAACAGTCCTTTTTGCATTTTGAAGTGTTTTGTGTGATCTTTGAAGTTTTGGAGAGAAGAAGGAGAGTAGATCCAAAGGAGAATAAGGAGATCCAAGGTCTTAAGTCCATTTCAGAGCATCTTGAGGTAAAATTCGGATCCTTTATGTTCTTATGCTTGAATCCCCTTAGAATCTCAATAAAAGGCATTTTTAGGACATTTCTTGGCTTGTTAGTGAATAGAGAGTATATAGGAACGAAAGGACATCAGATCTAGTCATGATTGAGCTTTAGAAGCTCATATCCATTACCTTTATTGAGTCAAATTAGTATGCAAGCCTAGATCTACTCTTTTAGTTCATTTTAAGCCCTTAAACACTTGAATATGCATACATGCACGTAAAGTTGGAAACTTTACGTGTAAAACCAACCCTAGGAACCCAGATCTATGAGTTGAATGCACTGGAATCGATCAAAATCGACTGTATAGTGTTTGCATGCAAGCAACTCGGCGAGTTGTTCTTCAGACTCGACGAGTCGAGTCGCGAGTCCCCGGTTTTTCCCCTTTCGAGTGTTGCGAGTGGAACCAGTGAGTTAGAGGTGGACTCGGTGAGTCGGAAGTCAGACGCAGTAATGGAGGGGCTCGGCGAGTCAATGCCATGACTCGGCGAGTCCAAGGCAATCTCCTTGCCTCAAGAACAGACTCGACGAGTTGTTCATACAACTCGACGAGTCACAGACTAGACGTGTTCCTGAGATGAAGATGAACTCGACGAGTTGTTCATACAACTCGGCGAGTCGGATGAAGTTAGACTGGATGATTAGTATCGAAGATGAACTCGTCGAGTCTTTGCTAAACTCGACGAGTAGTAGCGAGTAGAGGATGAGAAGAGGGTATAGGGACTCGACGAGTTGACGGCCCAACTCGGCGAGTCTGGTAAACTAAATGTTGACTTTGACGAGGATGTTAACTTTGACCAGGAGGTTGACTTTGACCAGGGGTAAAATAGTCATTTTACCCTCAGTATAGTTATCAGTATTTGATTGAGTGTACTTATGGGAATTGTAGCCGGGGAGATACCGGAGCAGCAGCAGACAGTTTCCCGAGCAGTTTGTTCAGCAGCCAGCTTACGAGGTGAGTTTCCTTCCAGTAGGAACCGGTCTACGACCACAATGTCGGCCCGTTTAGTTAGCAGTAGTTTTCGGACTTCGGTCCGATGCAGTAGATAGTATGCCTGAGGTCTTTGTGATTCAGGCAGGGTTTTGTGTTATGTGTTCCGGACTTCGGTCCGATACAGTATGCGGTATCAGTGTTTATGTTAATTGTTATGTTTATACTGTGCTATGTTCAGTTAGTTTCTGGACTTCGGTCCGATGCAGGGGACAAGGTCCCAGTTAGTTCCGGACTTCGGTCCGATGCAGTTTCTGGACTTCGGTCCGATGCAGAGGGCAAGGCCCTGGTTAGTTCCGGACTTCGGTCTGATGCAGTGGGCAAGGCCTAATAGTTGTTTATATGTTATTGTATGGTATGTGGTAGTTTGGGGGAGCTCACTAAACTTTGTGCTTACAGTTTCAGTTTCGGTTTCAGGTACTTCTGCTAGCAAGGGGAAAAGCTTGGGATGATAGCATCGCACACACCACAGCTTCAGCTTTTTATCCTGGGAGTTTATTTCAGATGCTATGATATATTTGACACAGTTTTTGATGTGACACATCTATTATGACCTTTTGAGATTTGTGACGTACGGTTTCATTATATGATATGGATGATTTGTGATTATTAGTATTATTTAAACAAAAAATTTTGGGTCGTATTTTGGGTCGTTTCAAGTTGGTATCAGAGCCTTGGTTTGAGGGATTCGAATACACTTTCGGGTGTGTCTGAACTCAAACTAAGGAAATGGTAATAGATTTTCAAAAGAAAAGCATTTTTGGAAAAGAATTTTGAAAAGAGCTTAGAAAGAAAAAGAGTTTTGAAAACGAGTTAAGGGTGTGGTGCATGCGATCAACCGAGCTCAAGTAAGTACTCCCAAATTACCCATACAAGTTTATGTTATGATTATTAGTTTCAGTTTCAGTTTCAGTAGAACAGCATGCTAGTATAGGACTAAGGATCTAGGAGGATGCTTTATGTGCCTGCTTTATGTGTTTCAACTTTATGAGAATTGCATGCTAGTATTGAGTAGACAGTAGTAG